TAAATGCCCTTCCAGGAACACTTCAGTAGTATCTGTTAAAACTATTGTTTTTTTTCTTTTTTTCTCTTCTGCTCTTTGAGAGGAAATGGAATGATCAAGGTCACAAAAAGTATAGCTAGATCTCCTTGTAATGTGATAGTCAAAAATTATCACATACACACATAAGTAGATAACTGGGACTTTAAAGATAGGTTTCCTAGAAGGCTGAAGAGAGAGCTGGTCATAGTAACTCACATCTGCATAATATTTTATCTAGCCATGGAGAGCTAAAACATACATTGTATCTAATCTAGGGCTCAGGGTTAGGACTCTTTTTTAGAAGGAAGGACACAGCAACTGTGATACAGCTTTGTAGATGTATCAATGTCAGCAAATCCCAGCTGCTTAAAAATTGACAAAGGCATCCATCCTAACAGTCTGATTATTCCTGGGCGTGGCCCTAGAAAACAGTCTCTGCATCTGCTACAAGTTATACCTTAAGTGGTGCATTTAGTGTTTCAACAACAACAACAAATCTGAATATTAACTGAATTAAGCAAACAATTCACATTTGAACAATAACAATCAGACACATGTCAATGCTATTTGTTATTAAAGTTTTTTTACTCTTTTACTTAATAATACTACTTTTACTTAAAAAACTACTCTTTTACTTAATAATAAACCAATAATTTGTTTAGGATGATGAAGCACAGATGTATTTGAATATGACTGTGTAGCTTCTCTCAGATGCCTAGGATAATCCATCCTATCTAGAGATAAGTTAAAGTGGAAGATGATGGGCAGAATCTGCAGTGACATATTCCCCAAAATCTTCAGTTCAAAAGGTTGATCTTAAAATTACTCTTAAGTGAATCTACATTGAGTCTTTAGGCTCCTTTAAGTTCAGTTCATGAGGATGATGACTTCTAATACTTACTCCTTAAGAGTGTGCCAACAGACGTGAAAATCTTACAGCAGTGACAGCTACACATCTCACCAATGAGGAAGTGTAGGGGTAATGTGATTAGTCAGTATAAGAACAGAGAGCTAGTAAGTGACATTTTTTTTTTTTTTTTTTTTGGTTTTTCGAGACAGGGTTTCTCTGTATAGCTTTGCGCCTTTCCTGGAACTCACTTGGTAGCCCAGGCTGGCCTCGAACTCACAGAGATCCGCCTGCCTCTGCCTCCCGAGTGCTGGGATTAAAGGCGTGCGCCACCACCGCCCGGCGTAAGTGACATTTTAAAACTGGAGTACTTTAATTTTCCTGATATTTAAATACATGTGTATATAGCAAATACTGCTAACACACACACACACACACACAGAATAAATAAAGACAGACCTAGGTTATTGCTGACAAAATTTTAAAATAGGACTACTGAATTTTATATTTATCTTTATAGTCAGTTAATTTCAATTTCTTTTCTTTCTTCTTCCAATGCTGGTACCTGAACTCAAGGCCTTGAGCATGCTAGGTAAAAATTCTATCACTGAGCTAAACTAAACTTGGACTTCTTCAAGGAAGTAAGCAGTTAGAGGCTTATACCTGGGCCTATTTTAGGTTTGTTCCTTCTATTCAGTTTTCTTCAGTTGTTTTCAAGGAATTCTCATCAAAATATAACAATTCTAGTGCTACAGAACTATAGTATGAGGTCATTATTGAAAAATATAATGCCAGAATCAAAGAAAGAAAGATGTTCACCATAGGACTCCCTAACACTCAGGAACCAAGTAGGAAGAGTCCGTTTGTCCTAGGAACAACTGCCTGAGCATTCCTTAAAGTCAATCCCAACCACACATAAGATCCTTTCTTCTCTTACCTTCTGCTTCAGATGTGGGGCATGATTGTCTTCTTTTGCTGAGAGATACAGGGAGCGAACCTGCTCCTGTACTGCATTGTAAAAAGTTGTCTCCCAAAACTGCTGATTTGTCCAAATGGGGTGGTCCTGTACACAGGTGTAGGCAAACTGGCTAACTCCAGGGGCAAGTTTCTGCGAGAACATGAAATATCTATCAGCACAGTGTAGGCAGATTATGACAGTTCAGAAGGTCACAGGCGCTACAGTTAATTGTAGAGGTGATAAAAAGATTTCTTTAAAGGCTTAGTAACCAACACTGCACTCATGTTCAACTGACAACTGCAGGCTCTCTATGAAATCCTTTAAAGTCTTGGTTACTTTACCTACCCAAATGAGAATTTTAACAGTAGCTATACTATTAATTATAGAATTAATATAATTCTTTGAATTATAGATTATATAAAAAATATCTACTACTCTGGTGGGTATAGGGTGTGTACTGTGTAGTTATTATAACTGGGATGCATACTAAAATCCAACACAACCTAAACCTAAAACTCTAGTAATCTAAAAATTTCTCTTACTTTGATTTATGGCTTTTTTTTTTTTTTTTACATTTATTTGTTTGGTGTGTGTGTGTGTGTGTGTGTGTGTGTGTGTGTGTGTGTGTGTATGCATGCTATACAGCCTGTGTTCAGAAATAATGAGCTCTCTCCTTCTATTATGTGGATTCTGAGGTTTGAATTCAAGTTTTCAGGCTTGCTGGCAAACATCGTTATCAACTGATCCATCTCAGTGGCCCAAGAATTTTAATTATTATTATTATTTTGGACACAGGGTCTTACTATCCAGCTCAGGCTGTTTCAGAACTCTCAATCTTCTTGCCTTAGCCTTATGAGTGCTGAGATTACAGACGTGTATACCACTGTTTCTGTCTAGGATATATTTTAAAAATATATTAAATAATTCACCACTTCTTAGCAAATAGTAGGTGAAATAACAGGGTAGATAAAAAATTGTGACCCATTTTATCTTTTGTAATTGAATTAATCTTTTTTTGTAATTAGAAGTACAGTTTCTGATAAATTTTCTTTTTAAGCAATTTAATAAGTTGAATTCTCTTCTGAAATGTTCAATACTAAAGATCATTACTGTTAAGGTTATATGCGTAATTATGCAGCGAAAGTTCATTTTTAAGGATGTGTAACACAAGTAAGATACCAAGAGAATGCTATGTTTGATGTAATTTCCCTCTTGATTTAGGGCATACCAACCCTAAAGCTAGAGCAAGCACTAGTTATACCAGGAAATTTAGTCTTACACACTTACAAGCAGAGTGACTGTGATTTGGCCTGCAAGAATCATGTGTCATATATTATGCAAGTTCCTTTCAAGACAGGGCTGTGCACTGCCATGGAGGGGACTACCTATAACTATGGTTCCTTCTGTAAGGTCACTATAAACAGATACCGACCATGTTGGCAGAAAGAGGGGAAGGCCATGTTTGGTTTTCATGATGCCTCATTTGCTCACTTCGGATACTTTCTTCCATGGGAAATCATGGACAAAATGTGTGTGGTTCTGCTTGTTGTGTTAGCAGAAACTACACTGAATCATATGTTCCTTCTAGAGTCTGCATAAACACACCCAGTGAGTGGGTTATACATTATCCCCTTCACATTTTAGAACTTCACATCAGTAACAGTGCAAAGGCCTATTCTGAACGAGACTTTTTATTTTACTTTGACATTTTCATACCATTGTAGTTTGCTCATACTTACCTGTTATCCCCCATTCTCTTCCTCTCCAAATAGTTCTCCTTTTGCTTTCATGTCTCACGTGTGTGTGTGTGTGTGTGTGTGTGTGTGTGTGTGTGTGTGTATGAGCCTCTTAGATTTTTTCATGAGAGAAAATATGCCACATGTCTCAAAGAGATTGTAGAAGCATAAAAATCAAATAAGATAAAGCCTAATTCTGAGCTGGGTGTAGTGGCACACGCCTTTAATCCTAGCACTTTGGAGGCAGAGGGAGGTGGATCTCTGTGAGGTCAAAGCCAGCTTGGTCTATATAGTGACTCTAGGACAGCCAGGACTATGTAGAGAGACCCTGCCTCATACCTCCTCCACCCAAACATAATTCTAAGTTGCCTTCCCTTGAGTATAACCAAAAGTAGAACCATTTCTTACAAATGCAGCACATTGTAAACTATGGAAGCTCTAAATAGTCTGTAGTCTTGACACAATATAAATGTAGACAAGTTCAGAAAACTGAGCTGTCTGCATCAGTCTTCAGAGTAGGTTTAGGAGCATTCTCCATGAATCTGATAGGTTAATGAAGCCCTGCCTTTCTTAAGCATTGATCTCAGCCATGCTATATATTGCTTTCCTGGTCATATATCCATTGAAATAATTTTCCTGTTTACACATAAACTAAATAAATATCTAAAACTTTTCTAATTTTTCAACAAAATGAGACCATATATTCAAAGGCAGAAAAATGGTGTAAAACAGAAGAGCCAGAGCATAGTCCGTTTTCTAGGTGAGAATTACAACAGGATAAAGGATCATAAGGTAATTTTGTGGTAGTAAGCCAGTCCCCACACAGCTATAGCATCTGCTTAAGCTATGTATAAGAAATCATTAATTCCAAAGCACTTAAAATATTACCTCTTTAGAGCATGCATACGCCTTCTTTCTTGGTGATTTCACGTCATGCTCAATTGTGAGGAGGGAACATGTGTCCCAGTTAGTATGGACACTGTACCGATGGACAAGTATGTTCTTAGGACCAGCAGAGGGCAGTGAAGCCTCTTCTGCCTACACATCATCATAGCTTCAACTAGCATATAAAAGCAGAACTCTACAGAAAGTAGGTAGAAGAAATACTGCATGTCTTCACTGCCCATCTGAGACTCTGTGAGAACAGAAATGAGGTGGTGGTACGTATGTATGTATGTATGTATGTATGTATGTATGTATGTATTTATGTATGTATGTATTTAACAACAGAGACTCAGCTGTTCTAGAATTCACTACCTAACAACCCCAGGCAGGCTTCCAACTCAGGATGTATGTATGTATGTATGTATGTATGTATGTATGTGTAATGTATGTATGTATTTAACAACAGGGACTCAGCTGTTCTAGAATTCACTACCTAACAATCCCAGGCAGGCTTCAAACTCAGGAGTCTCCAGCTTCAGGTTAAGGTAAGGTGTAATAGGATTAGAGACCTTCTCTACCACATCTGATTACACTTTCCTTAAGATACAAAAATTACCATATTCTATAAAATGGAACTTTAATATAATTATGGGTAAAGAGATGTAATGTGACTTTTTAGGGTTTCAGATTCATTGGAACAAGTGACAGTAGCACAGGTTTATTAGTAAATGGAAAATAAGCAACTATGGACAAAAACTGTCTCTTATTCTAGTCATTTCTTTGGTTTGAAGCAGACTTTTTTTGGGAAGGTTTCCCATACTGGTCCATGTGTTCTCTTAGTGACTATCCTGAGGGTAACAGGGAATACTTGTCAAATGACATCTCTTTTACCCTTACTCTGGCATAAATATTTACTCTACAGTTCATAATACTTCTTATAATTATGTCCTAAAGAAACAAATGATATCTTGTCATCCAATTTTTTAAGATATTTAAAAATGTGTCGACTTCCTTCCTTATCTAGAACAAATAGCCCTGAAGGTACTAGATTAAGCAATGCCATTCATTTCCGACAAAGCTTTCAAAAGAAACCCAGCATGAGACAGGATGTGGAGAACAGACTCATGGTGCTCACCAAACAACAGGCCTAATTAAAATCCTCATACGGACACAAATCATCTGAGGAGACGATCAGGAGTTATGTGAGTACGCAGGAACTGTCTAAAGTCTGTTTGGCTAGAAATGGCTCATAGCTTCATTTAGGGGATTCAGAGGGAAACTACCTATCAGGAAAGAAGGCTAGCTGGCAGGTCCAATGTCATAAAACATGTAATGGTCTTTATGAATAATGTACAACTATCTAAACTGATTAGGACTTCCTTACTGTATTTAATTCAGTTCTCAAAGCAGTTTTAATGACCCACAGACACAGGTAATACTTCCCACTTCAGTAACATGAGAAAACAGAGGCCACAGAGCTAGAGTTGGGCATCTACTGTAAGATTATACAACATTTTTTTTTTTTTTTTCTGTTCCAGGTAAGGTTGTTTCCAACTCTTTGCTACAACAGACAATGGGGCATGAATACCAAAACACATGTCAACTGTTATCTTGTGATAGTTCAGTACCACTTTTTAGATCAGGTCTCATGTAGCCTTAGCTGACTTCAAACCTGCTATGTAGCCAAAGATGATCTTGAACTCACAATAATCCAGCCTCCAACTAAATGTTGGGATGTAGGCATGTGCCACCATACCTGCTTGACTTTCAATATTACTTAATAGTGTGTGGAATACTTGAGAGAGGTCTCAAGAAATATGATTCCTACTGTCATCTGTACCAATAAGCATGTGGGGTCCACTGATCATCAGTTATCCTGATAACAAATTATTTCATGCAGAGTTTCTGCAAATCCACTATTCAAAATAGTTAACTGGAGCTGTTTAATGTAAAAATCTCAGTTTGGGGTTTCAATTTCTAATTGTCTTCCAAGTGTAAGAAAATTCCTGTTCCCTCTTTTCTTTAGTGTTACTTTCACAGTTTTGTTGAATTTAGATAGGATCCAAATAAGGATACATATTAGCATTTGTTAGACCACAACTCAAATCAGTTCTACTTTAGGGTCTGTTTTAAGCTGGACTTTGTTGAAAAAAAAAAAAAAAAAAAAAAAAAAGGACCATTTATCTGTCCTATAGCAGTTGCTGACTATAGTGGAGTGCTATCATTTAACATTCTTTTGGCCCCCGTGTTTCCCATGGATTGGCAATGTCTAATGGTCTGATTAGATTCAGGATTGTCTGGCAAAAATACTTCTCAGATGGTACCATCTCAAGGGGCACACCTGGTCCTGGTCTCTTGTGATGTTAGAGCTGTTGCTAGTCAATAGGTGGACCACGAGGAGTAGTAAGACATGATGTTCTTATTAAGCGTCACGTCACTCCCTTGTGTACTCACTACCTGAGACATTGCTAAAAGGAACAATATGAAATTCTGAGTTCTATATTCAATGTAAGCATGTACATATATATGCAGGTGCACACATGCATGCACAAAACAAGAATCAATATTTGATTCAATCTCTTCATTTGATAGTTTTACAAATAATGAGATATCTTTATCATTATAGTAGAATATTAATTTGGCCTTTCATTAATATATTTATAAATTTGGGAATTTTAAATATTCTTAAAGATTCTTAAACCTATGTTTAGAAATAAAGAAACAAATAAACCTTATCCTCAAGTATTTACTAGAAACCCATATTTTCATTAACTCAAAGTCAGGCACTATGATGTTCTGGTGTACAATATTTCTAACATCTATGTGGGGAGATGATAATCGCAGAGTATGTGATGACTGATGAACTTATAACAGCACTGCAAGCTGAGAGGTTAGAGGCTTATTACAATGGAATAAACAAAAAGAATAGGAGATCCTAACAGGGTATTATTTCAGGGACTTAAGTGTAATATGTACAATAGACAAAAGGTGAAAATGTATCTCTCATGACATGTACTTGTAAGTGGCTTTAAAGCTCAGCAAAAAAGCTTATTCTGGGGGCTGAGGAGGTAGCTCAGTTAAGAGCACTTGGGACATAAGTATGAAGATCTGAGTTTAGGTGACTAGCACTCTTAAAAGCAAGATATGACTGTGCAATGGATTACAATGCATGCAATCCTAGGCCTGGGGAAGTAGACACACAAACACACATGCACACCATTTATTGTTGAGTTTTTTTTTCAGTAGCTACCCCTTACAAAGTTAGTGACTTTAATGCTCATTATAGGAGAAAAAGGCAAATGATCAGTACCTTATTAACACACTTGACTATCATGCTGCTATTAAAATGGTTATTGTGATGATATGCTTACAAACAAAGCACTTTTTACATTTCAGAAAATAAGTCAACTATGCTATGGTTATGTCTGTAGGTACACAACAATTTAGAGAAGGTGCCGGGAGATGGCCTAGTCAATGAAGTGCTTGCTGGTAAGCATGAGGTCCTGGTTTTGGGTATCCAGATCCTAAGTGAAAAGGTAGGTGTGATTCATATACCTACAATCTCATCATATTAAATGTGGAAGTAGGAGGCTCCTGGGGTTTTTCACTGGCCAGTCATTCTAGTGAAGTCAGCATGTTCCAGGTTTAGTGAAAGACCATGCCTCAAGAACTAAGGTAGAAAATAATTGAGAAAGATACCTGACCTTGACCTGAGTACTTCACAGATACACATGAGTCAGGACACTCAGTGTTGCATAGCAATTTCCTTTGATTTGAAACATTTCATCAGGAAGAAAGACTCCTTAAGATTTAGAATAGGAACAAAACTTAAAAGGCTCAGGAAGCAAACTATTTAGGAGTCTTAGGAAGTTCCTAAAACTTGTAAGATAGACAAAGCCCCTTATAAGCAGTAACAACTGCTAGGCAGAGTAGACTTTGAGACCAAGTTGGCTGTAAACTGTGCAGGGAAGGGAGCTCCAAGAATACAGTTTTGCTTTTGAGTCATCCATGCTCCTGGAAGAAGCAATCCCAGTAAGCTGGACTCTGGTGGAACTATTACTTTGGTTTAATTTTTTTTTCTTTTCTGGGGCTAATAGAAAATTTGTCTACAATTTCCCAGGAAAAGTTAATAATATTTGCATACACACAAACATATTACACCACCCCCCAAAAAAAGTCAAGATGAAAATTGCTGGGTAGTGGTGGCACATGGCTTTAGTCCCAGCTGATAAGTGAATATTTAATGCTACACTATTCAATTCTATAATAAAAGTTAGAATTCAATGAATTCTAGCACTGTATTCCTATCTTCTGACCTCCACATGTGAGCCATGGTATGTACATATGTCTACACACAAACTACACACACACACACACACACACACACACACACACACACACGGTTGTATGTATGTATCTATCATCTATCTAAATATATGTAAAAATTTTAAAGTAATCCAATGTTTCATAAACATAGATGAAAAAATTCTAAATGAAATTATAGCAAATCAAATGTAGCAACATATTAAAAAGATAATATGTTGTAACCAAGTGAAACTTAGGAATGTAGGGAAGAGGCTTAAAAAAGCTTATTAAAATGTGTATAAAATGTAGGAAATGTAGATAAGATACATAACAATAAGACAGCTGTTATGCTGTTAAGTTATACTCTTCTTATTTTATCCCTCATATTCCTGAACCCCTCCTGATAGTCCCTTTCTTCCTCCCAAAGAGTATCACCTTTGCTTTTACACTATATGTATCCTGTGGTGGTTGGGATGAGAATGGTCTTCACATGTTTATATGTTTGAATACTTGGTCTCAGTTAGGAACTGTTTGGGAAGGATTAAGAAGTACGGCCTTGCCAGGCGGTGGTGGCGCACGCCTTTAATCCCAGCACTAGGGAGGCAGAGCCAGGCGGATCTCTGTGAGTTCGAGGCCAGCCTGTACTACCAAGTGAGTCCCAGGAAAGGCGCAAAGCTACACAGAGAAACCCTGTCTCGAAAAAAAACCAAAAAAAAAAAAAGTAAATATAAGTAACTAATACGTAGTTCAGAAGAGAGACTAAAGCCCGCTGTGGTGGTACATGCCATTAGTCACAGGACTGGAAGGCCTCAGGTGGCAAGCAGACCTCTGGGAATCCACGGCCTGTCTGGTCTGTATAGCAACATCTAGGCCAACCTTGGCTACACACTGAGACCCAGTCTCAAAAAATAATGAGAGAGTCAATCATTGCCCTGGAAAGTGGGAGAGGGGCTGAGAGTTCCTGGAGGTGGGGTTGAGAATGCACGTGATCAAGAAGTGTTGTTTATGTGTATAAAATTATCAAAGAGTAAATAAAAGATATTCTGTTAAAAAACAAAAATACTGTGTACAGTGTCACACACCTTTAATCACCGCGCTCTGGAGGCAGTTCAGGGCCAGCCAGGTTTACATAGTGAGGCCCTGTCTCTAAAGAAATAAATTAAAATTTAAAAATTACTCTGTTGCATGCTCCTTAGCTGTAACTCTCATTAGTCATTGCATAGTTTTAAGTATTAGTTGTCAGTAGATGAAAGAAACTTTACTTTAAAAACAAAAAACAAAGCAGAAATAAAACACTCA